ATCTTCTCATTAATATGTAAATTTAAAGTCAATCGGTCTTCTCCCTGACAGCCCCATGAATTCCTAGTGCACTGTATAATCGGCTTTGACTTGGCATCCACTATTTATCATCAAAGATGTCAGTTAGAAAAATTATGGAAAATGCACTGCAATTGATATGACTGCAATCTACTTTGTCAACACTTAATTGTTCCTCAAATCATACATTTACATATAAACAGCCTAAATACTGATCTATAATGATGCAAATAAACTAAATTAAAAATCTCTTCTGCCCCGAAGAAGCTTGTTTGTATATGATGTGTTCATCTGAGAACTTATTGACAAAAGCATGTTACATCAGCTCATCTCAAAAAAGGTTTCTACTAATTTTCAATCCCTCAAAAAAAAAAATTTGCTACCTTTCAAGTTTATAAACAAATATTTTAAAAATTCAACAAGAAACATGATTTTTCTCTCTGAAAAGCAAATTTAATTATAGTTGTTAGCTAACTGCAATATCTAAGCACCATGGATTGGGGGGGGGGGGCGGGGCGGGAAACTTCAAAAATGGCTTCAACCAGGATGCAGTAAACAAAAAGAGAAAGTTATTAAAGTAAGCAAAAAGATACTTTAACTTAAAAGTCAAGGGGCGCCTGGGTGGCGCAGTCGGTTAAGCGCCCGACTTCAGCCAGGTCACGATCTCGCGGTCCGTGAGTTCGAGCCCCGCGTCGGGCTCTGGGCTGATGGCTCAGAGCCTGGAGCCTGTTTCCGATTCTGTGTCTCCCTCTCTCTCTGCCCCTCCCCCGTTCATGCTCTGTCTCTCTCTGTCCCAAAAATAAATAAACGTTGAAAAAAAAAAAATTAAAAGTCATGAGGTAATAGAATACATAGGATATATATCAAAATATAAATCTGATCCAGGCATCAGATTACTCTGTTTATATTTCTGGTTCCACATTTTATAAGCAATATTATCTTCTATGAGTTGTTAAACATTATATGCCTCAGTTTCTTCATCTATAAAATGGGTCTAATAATCGTTACCGTCCTATCTCAAATAAAATACTACAAAGTACAGCAAAATAATAAACTGTTAAATTTAAAGTATCACAGTATTATTTTTCATATATTATCTTAGTATCTGAGAAACCCCTTGATTTTAATAAATTTAGTATTTAAAGGCAGTTTTTTCCTTTAAATAACTTTTAAATTAATCTATAATTTTAGTGAGACCGTTTTCTCATTTGTAAAATCTTTTACTTCAAGACAAATGACTCTTTATATATCATAATATGGTGTTCATATAGCATTTATAGAAGTGACTTCTGCCTGTATGTAAATGGGGATGAGGTGCTAGAATGACCACCTGTATATTCTGCTAATTGCATGGAAAAAAAAAACCACATTCAAGACCTGAAGGTGAAAAGATAAAAAAGGATTTTAACAAGTCAGCAATGACTATGCTAGCATACTGATCCACTTTGTCTTTCTATCCCGTAACATTCTTAGCAGTTCTTTACCGCATGATAGGCTTTCTACAACATGAGAACTGAAAAATGAAAGCAGATATAAATGCAGAATCCTCCTAAGTTTCTTCCAGCTTCATGATTCAGGCTGCCAAATTTTAAAGTTAAAATTACCGTGTACAGTCCTAAAAAGATGGATGCAAGTTAAAGTGTAAGCCATAAACTCTCCAAGGCTACAAGTGCCTGGACTGCTCCCTCAAAAGTTGCTCAGTGAAACAGAATTCTAACAAGCCACAGAGAAAGTCTGAGACGGGTTAACTCAAAGAGTAAGCATGAACATGGTCTAAAATGATGATAACCATTTGAACTTTAATTTTATAAAATGTATCTGTGCTAAAAGTCTAACATCTTGGACAATCCCTTGCTTCTAATACTGCAATAAAGAATGACCCTGTCAAATCTTTCCTGCTGGTACCAAACAGAATACATATGTATACAAAGAGACACAAGCCTGTTATCTTGATTATTTTGGAATCAACTGATACCACTTTAAATTAACAAATAAAGTGAAATATGTTATCCAAAGTAAAATTTATAACCACTACAACAACGGAAATTAAGCAGTTGCCTTTAAGGGGTCAACCAAGAGGTTATGATATGAGAAGGACGACTTCGCTTTTATTTCACCATGTGCCTGACCTCGTTGTACAATTAAAAAAAAAAGTTATGTTTATAGTTACCTAAACCCTTAGAAATCTTCTATTTTTAGTAAGGTTTTCTTCTTGTCTTTTTTTTTTTTTTCTTTAAGCCAAGGAATCTTTCTCAAAGGAAGCCATATTCAAAGCTGTATATGAAGGGCGGACAAAGATGAAGGCTGCTCTGTCTGGAACAGAAGCAAGAACCCAGAGAGCTGCAGAGTCTAGAGCACCACTGTCCCCCCGCCCCCCACCACCACCCCGGGGTCGTTCCTGTGGCAATGTTACAGCATCCTGAGGCCTGAGGTGCACATCTGAAAATGAGTGAATTAAGTCTATTAACCACATAATGTAGAGAAAATGCCAAGGTCAGAATGCAAGTAAGTGGCAAAGGTAAGAAATTACTGAGCCCAGTTTCAATGTACCCAGGACAATGACGGGATTCCATCCCATGTTTGTAATAATTAATGTCCAAAGAATCCACATGTGAAAACACAAGGAATACATATAGCCCCAATTTGTCAAATTATCTGTCAAAAGAGTAAATATATATGGCAGTACAAAATTTAACTTCCTGGCTTTGTAAATAGCTTTAAACATGACTTTTATGTAAAATAACATGAAATATAATTCAAGGAACAGAAACACAAATAGACAAACTACAAAAATAGAGATTTTAAAGTCTGTTACATATTTTTAGAAGATATGGCAAGGAAAGATTTTAACTGTAATTTCTACATAATAACACAGCAAAGGATCATTTGCATACAGATACTGAAAATGATTTGGTGACCGGGAAGTAAAATTTAAAATCTTATCAAAGAATGACAGTGGTTAGATAAGGCAAAATTACTTTATAATAACCTTACAACAGGAAAACAAAATATCTAAAGAGCACTCTGGAAAAGGACCGGCTGAAATCAAACAAGCTATCATTAGCAACAAAATTCTCTCGTCAAAGTTATCATTTACATGAAAGGGCCAAGACTTTTATAGCACTGGCATGTCGTTGCTTAATCCAGCAAAAGTGCCATCAGAAATTTACTTTGCTCAATGATTAATACAATTTATTTTATATAAAAAAGCAATCAATTTAAGAGTCTTATATGGCATGAGACTTTTATATATGAATAACTCAAAACATACTTCAATTTTAAATAACCTAAATACTTTCTTAATATTAAAATTAAGATGGAGTCAGTAATACAGATAGTCTTCTGGATAAAGATACACTTTAAAAATTTTTAAATACTTTTTAGTATGAATAATACTTAGTTACCGTAAAAAGCACTGATGAATATTTTAAACATTTAAACTTCTTTAAACATCTGAAAGTTTAACATGACATCTTAAAGTATGTACTATGAACATTCCTCCATTCTACATACGTTTTCCACTTCCTTTATTTCTTTTTTTTTAAATTTTTTTTTAACGTTTTATTTATTTTTGGGACAGAGAGAGACACAGCATGAACGGGGGAGGGGCAGAGAGAGAGGGAGACACAGAATCAGAAACAGGCTCCAGGCTCTGAGCCATCAGCCCAGAGCCCGACGCGGGGCTTGAACTCACGGACCGCGAGATCGTGACCTGGCTAAAGTCGGACGCTTAACCGACTGCGCCACCCAGGCACCCCTCCACTTCCTTTATTTCTAAATAACAAAAGTGAAATGTAGTAAGCACTCAAGCCCTACGCTTGAGTTTCTATACAAACTATTATGACATAATTGGGGGATTTTTGATCTTTTACTTTTTACACAGTTGATTTTAAAAATCTACTATAGATTTTACTTTTAAAAAAGTATTATACCTTTTTTTAATTTAAATGTAGTTGACACATGTTCCATTAGTTTCAGGTGTACAACATGGAGATTCCACAACTCTACACATTCTGCTGTGCTCACCAGAAGTGTAGCTACCATCTGTCACCATACAACACTATTATGATACTACTGAATATATTCCCTGCGCTGTACCTTTCATCTCCATGACTTATTCATTCCATAATTGGAAGCCTGTACTTCCCACTCCCTTTCACTCATTTTATCCAACCTCCCTCCCACCCACTTCCACCTGCTTTTGAAAAAGACAAAAAAGAAATATCACAAGATGAGAATGAATGTGCTAGTCTTATAATATTTAATGATTTCTTTTTTTAAACAAGCTTAAAACTTACACTTAAATATTAAATATATACACACAGAGATCGCTATTGCAAACTATGCAGTAAAATTTTTTCAATCGTCAATAAAGTAACAAGAAGGTATGTGTCTAGGTAGGTATACCTCTAATGTTAATATGCACAAAGAAAACAACTTCTTTTTAAGGCATATTTAATTATTAATTTTACTAAAATTCCATTAGCTTAAGTGAAAAAAAGGAAAACAAACATTTTAAAATACAAAACTAGGAAAAAGTACTTTAAAGGTCAGTAATATTTACCATTAAAGGCAAGATATTCTCTTAAATTTACATGTGCTAGAAGCACATTACCCACTTGTACGACTGAATCACTTGAGCAGTTGAGACTTGAAGATATGAAAGCAACAAACTGCAAAAAAATCCATGATTTGGCAATATCCCTGAAAACACTGTATCACGCTGCTGCTCCTAACAAGGGCCTCCTGCCAGGTATCATGCTAAAAGTTTATACACTATGTCATTAAAGACAGGTCAATCGGTACCAAAATAACGAAAAATTATCCTTGCATTTATATTTATTTTCTGCTTTCCAAAAGAACATAAGAAAAAAAAGTCCTCCATAAATATGCAGACTTCTATTATCTTACTCCTATACACATTTTTAAAAGCCCATCCATGTTCTTAATCTTCATTAAGTGGAAGATTGTTCAACACTTACCTCTTTCCAAGGACTGACAAACTGTGTACGAGCATATCGAGTTAGCATGTGGATTATGACAACCTGCCCCCACTCTTCTACATCAACTAGTAAATTACAGAGCTTGCGGTAATTCTTGTGAATCAGATCTATTCTATCCGGGCATACTTCTTCAAAAGCCATCACAACACTGCCAGCTACCAGCTAGAAAAGAAAGAAATAGTAACTCATTAAAAAATGTCTTCCTCCCCATCAAAGAGTCTATTTAGGCATTACAGAGATACAATCAGTGTTATGACAATGAATGTTTAAAGAATTCAGTTATTTAATTAACAAAATGATTGTTTAAATAACAAATTTTAAGTGTCACTCACTCAAAGAATTTTTATAGCTATAACATGTCTGAAAAGCTAATACCTTCCTGAAGTATTACAATTAGAGAAGTATCAGTACTACAAATCCAACAATTTTTTTGTCACGTTAAATATCAATGAATTGTTCACACATGGATGGACTCAACATATTTGTCATGTACATTTTTCATTTTTAAGCTAACCTAAATTCCAATCTAAAGATTTATTATTTAGTACATAACATTCAGAAAAATCAAGACAATAACAAAGACCACATCATGTCAGTTTAAAATGAGAATGACAATGAATTCATCTTAAAGTGTTTGAGGAACTTGTAAGTGTTTCTGGTACAAAACACTTTCAAATCTTCAACATTTTAATCCACCTGTTAATTTTTACCAATATATTTACAAAGAAAATACAAAGGCTAAAATTTTATATAACCTATATAACAATGTGTATAAATTGAAATAATATATTACCAACAAAAGACAGCTCCCTCAAAGACCAATTAATGAACCATAAATGCTGTTTTGTAATTGTCATACAAAGTGGTAAAATTAAGATATCTTTGGTATAAAGATACAAGCTAAGCAGAATACATAATATACAAATACTTCTATATATGTACCACTGATATATGTGCAGTTAGCCAAAATGTAATACTGTTGAAAAAATAAATTAATATCATATTCTTTCTAAACACGAGGGATCTTCATTTTAGTGTCTAAAATTTCCCCAATGACTTAAAATAAGCAATTAAATAGAAATGTAACTTACTGAAATGGTACTTTTTGAAAAATATTAGATACAATGATATTCGTATTTTTAGTGTTTGTCCCTCTACTTGGCTGACATTTAGTTTATTAATATGCAACCAACAATACAATTGAAAGAAAACAGCTCAGAATATAGACTTGCTATTATGCTAAACAAGTTTCCAGTCCTGTGGGGATTTTATGAATTACCAATCAGTATAAACGTGAAGCCGCATTTATTGACTCCAGCCCTGCCCATGTACTGGTGCCTGCTGGTCCCAGCATGAATGCACTTCAATCGAAAAAGCAAAGAATTGATTATTTGTGTGAACTAAATAAAAAATGTATTATACATATAATTTCCCATTTGCTATTGATATGGAAAGGATGTTAAGTTCATGTTTTCATCTCCACATTTTGATACTTTCTGCATAAATCACTCTTCAAAAATTATATTCTGTGATAATCATATTTCTAAATGGTTAGAATTAGTATTATTTAAAAATCCCTTAAAAACAACAAAGTTTATGACCTCAAACTATAGAATAACTTAGTATTTGTGAAATAGATCTATCCATGTATATATTTTATATTTAGGCCAATCTTACATTAAGACACACATATGAATTGGTAAAGGATATTAAAGTACAAAAATAAATAATACCGCTTAGAATACAATAGTCAGTGAAATTGAAGCAGCAATCCAACAAAGTTTCAATTAAAGAAATACTATGTAAAATCAAGTTATTTTGCCTAACACTACCAGATTTTTTTCTAAGTGTTTAGTAGACACCAAACAATTAAAAGAAAAATCAGCTACCAAAAGGTATTAAATTTATTACACCAAGAGCTATAGGTACAACATAATTCTGAAGTATTAACAGAAAACATGGAAAAAGAAACTAATTACTTAAGTACAAATAAAGTTTAAGAAAACAAAAATAATTAGGAAGAATATAAAGAAAAGAACCTTCACAAAATAAAGCTGACCATTTTAGATATTTTATCGTATGGATTTAACAAACTGACCCTAGGCTAACCAATGCCAGAATCGATAATTTTGGTCTACTAAATGTTCAATATTCTATAAAACTTCCAGAATTAAAATAAAATGATCTACTCAGATTTTAAAACCAAAAATATTGGTTTCCCAAAAACACACAGTTAATTTCCATTTCACTGTGTCAATAGTAGCTTTTTATATAAGGTGAAAAATAAATCACTCCAACAAAACTAGCAATGAGCTCATCAAATTCAAATGCAGTTTTCCATTTATGTATTTTTTATATTAAAGCTATAAACATGGTTCATTTATCTTCCCTTGGTTGCCACGTTTTTCTGTGCTGTTGCTATGAACTTCAGCCATTAGCTGTGCTCCAAGGTAAACTACATGAACCATCAACAAAAGTGACACCCCATCTATGGAGTTCATATTTTCTCCAGATTATCTATGCTAGTTGACAAGCTGGTAATGAAAAAAATCACACTAAGCAAATGGTTCCTCTAATAACAATAAATTTTCTATAAAATTATGAAGGGTACAAAACGTTTCCTTGCATCTATTTTGTCATGAATTCTAATTAACGTTGCAAAAACCTGAGAGTGCTGGGTCATCACAAGAAGTGCATCAAGGTTTGATTGATAATATGGTATAAGTTGGCCAATGCTGCCAAGATTTTCTTCTCTTAAATTAATGGCCATCCAACCTGCCCTAATCATACAGCCCAAATGATATTCCCCTTCTTATTTCAATTTTCTTGAGGCATGGAAAATGGGAAAGATCAGTCATTTATCTTCTAATAGCTGGATAATAGATCTATCACAATAAAACATCTGCACAAAATCAGAGGTGTGGGGTTTTTTTTTGCCCACTACAGTGAAGCTTTTACCAACATTAAATCAATAACCTATAAAATGGTGTCTTACCCCTATAATTTAGTTATGAACTACCAATATATTCATTAAACATCATTTTGTAAATTAGGGAGAAACTCTGTCATAAAAAATATATATAAACAACTAAGTTTTCCAGTAAGCAATGACCTAATCTGTGTTCTTAAGAAACTCTGTTTTCTATTAGAAAGTTAAATGCTATGAAAAGGATTTCTTTACAATTAACCTGAAAGGAAAAGGAAATAATACCACCCTGCTTTTGAGGTATTCTAAATAAAAGATGTCCACTGCTATGTTTAAATTGTTAAACAAATATGATTTCTACCTTAAAGAAAAACCAGAGAAAGTATTAAAATTTAAAAATGAATTTACAATAGAATATCAGAAAAGGTATATAGTAAAGAAGAAAAGTGTTCAAGATATGTTAAATAGAGAATATAGGATGAAAATAGTAACTCTAGAAATATACAATAAAGAAATAACGTAAAAAACATCTTGTAACTGTTGTAACAAATTGATATTTGTCAGCAGCAATAGCAATGTCAACATGACAATAATAATCCCAAAAAGCTCCTGATGATAACAAATAAATTTTCAAAAATTTGGAAATGTGGAAATAAATCAGACCTAGTTCCCTTAAATGGGAAATTTTTAAACAAAAATTATTTGGAATTCTTACTGTTTTAAATGTCAATACCGATACTAACTTGGGAGAGAGAGGAAATACAGCTGTCTTCCTTCAACAAAGAATTACAAGAAACAAGACTAAGTAATAATAAAGCTAAAATCCCTATACATATGCATAAATACCAGAATATTTTAAACCTTTCTACCACAGAATGTAATCATACAAAGGAAAAAATTATCACAAAATATTCTCAAAACATAATTAATTTAAATAATGGGTAAGCAAGTTAATGGTACCTAGGTAAACATGAATCTCCCATCCCAAAGCCAGAAATATCAAAGATGAAAAACTGTCCTAAGCATAACTTAAAAACAAAGAATCCCCAAACTTCAAATTACATGTAAGTAGAAAAATAAGCCCTAAATGCCAGAGAGTTATCTTTCATGCTTATATCATAAAAACTCATAAAGACCTGTGGCAGTCAGGAAAAAACTGCCCTTACCAAAACAGTAAGAAGTTGGTGGTGAGCCAAAGAAAGAACTAAAATCAATAGGAGGAAGAGAAAGAGTATTCTAAGTGTAAAAATACTATCTAAGATTCCTCATGGATCACAGTGGATTACAAAGTAGAAATTTCAAGGGGGTAGGAGATGGAGGGTAGATTCAATGAGATTGTCTTGGAAAAGAAAAATTTCAAGAAGAAAACAGTTAAAAAAGAGGTAGAGGAAGAGGAATTCCTTAGAAAATGTAAGGTGACAGAAAAAAAGAAATAAGAGGAGGAAATTCAGAAGAACAACAACAAAATCAAAATAACTTTAGGACATACACCCCTTCCTACATGCTTTCCCTCAAAACAGCCATCTAATAAAAAAGCATACTGTGATATTCTGTCAGAAACGGTATTCTTGTGCTAGGAATCTTGCAAACTACCTCAAACTCAAACCACGAACCCTGTCCAAAGAAAATGTAAAGATGTGAGTAATCTACAAGTGTTGAAAACAGAAAATGAAAATCAAAACAATTCAACTGATGAAAATTGCCCACACAAAAAACAACAAAACTAACACAACACTCCAAAATGAAGTACCCTCAACGAAGCATAAGAAGATCAGAAAAATGAACGTAATCAGAAATTCATAAACAGAGAAAAGAAATAAACAAAAGACATCAGGAAGAAATGTAACAGGAGTTGACTGAAACCAGGAAAGAAAGTGAGAGGGGAAGAAAATAATCAGACATGATGATTAAACTGCAAGGTGCCCCTGCAAGAAAACAGCTGAATGAAAATTTAATAAGGGGAATTAAAGAAAAGTAGGAAAAAAAAAAAAAAAAAAAAAAACAGTGGTTGAAATGTAAGACAGGCAAAGAAGATCCAACCTATATAAAATTTAAATCCCTGAAGAAATAAAAGTAACAACTAAGCAGAAGTAATATTTAAAACTATAATCTTAAAAAAAACAAAACAACAACAACAACAACAAAAAAAAAACTTTGCCAGAAATAATGTATGTTCTAAACCTACATTTTAAAAACATTCAATGAGTACCAGGAAAAAAAACTAACCCACATCAAATAACCCTGAGACACCATTTAAAACCATTAGGTCTCAAAGATACAGAGGAAATCATCAGGGTGAGCATCTTACTTAACGCAGACACATTACGGACACTTTCCTTTAGACTGAAATAAGACAAGGATGCCCACGATCTCCACTACTACTGAATATTATACTAATACTAGTAAGTACCCAAGTATATAATTACACAAGAGAAATTAATTAGTAATTAGAGTTGGAAAAGAAGAAGTAAAATCACTCTATTAGCAGACATTATATTTTCTAGAATAAACCATGAATAAAATAATTAAATCAAACAATAAAAGAACTTGGTAAAGGAGCAGGATATAAAATTACCATAGAGAAGATCAATAGCCCTTTTTATACACCAATATAACAAGTTCAATGATATAAGGATGAAGCAATTTCAATTTACAATAACATCAAAGAAGACTACATATCAATACAACTCTAAACCAATATTTAACTCAATTAGCAGTCCACATCTCACCACTTCCCACAAAGGCACATGCTAGCAATTCTGAAACACTTTGTCTGCATCTTGGGATGCAACAAGTAACTAAATATATTGTCAATAATGAAAGCCACATTTTTTAATGTTGGAGAAGGAAGCTGAAAAGGCAGGAGGCTAGAAGGAATCCTGGGCTGTTGTACTGGAATTACAGGCATCTGTGTAAACTTTGCCACTTAATACAGATAGAAAAATAGATATAGATGTCCTTTTAATTAAAAACTATATAAACATGTAAGTAACACTTTAGGAAAAAGGAGTGCCTCATATAAGAGACCATCAAAGCCCCCAAAAGATCTGCTCGTGAACACTGAATATGATGTATACCACTTGGGAAGCAAAATACTAAAAATGATAGTAAACCCATAATTACCATCAGCAAAAACGTACCAAATTAATTCCACAACCATTCGACAAATATTAAATACCTACTATGAACAAGTACTCAATGTTTTCTACTATATTTTAGAAATAAATGGTCAGAAATCAATAACCGACTATCTCAAATTTACAAAAAATATATATCCTTTACATTCTTTTTGTGTCATTTATTTCTTACTTGGAATATTTATTTAACCCCCTTTTACAGCACAAGGCACTATAATGAGGGTTTTACATACAACAGCTCTTTCAACACAAATAAAACTTTATACATTAGAAATTACAAGCCACACAAATTTGGGAACTGAAATTTATGAAGGCTTAATACATAGCTACCACGGGGCAGAAGTGTAGGACAAACCCAATTCTGTCTAATTCCAAAGACTGTAATTTCTGGCTGTGGCGTATCTTGTTTGGGAAGACATGCACACATTATATACATTTCATTCATGATTTCATTCCTGGGCCATGCAACAAATTTCTTTTAGTCTATAATGCAAGAGAAATCATGGTAAATTACATTAAAATAAAGGATCTGTTTCTTATAGATCTTACTCTATTCTCCACGGTTTATACCAAATGTCTTGCATATCAAAGAAATAAATGTTTTTATATTATTAATAAAACCAAATTAACCATAATACTGATTTCTAATCTGGGTCCTAGAAGAGAGTAACAAGTATGCCACACCGAAGACCAAAAAAGAGGGGTATCTGGGTGGCACAGTCAGTTGAGTGTCCAGCTCTTGATTTTGGCTCAGGTCATGATCTCACGGCCATGGGATTGAGCCCCACATTGGGCTCCATGTGGAGCCTGATTGGGATTCTCTCTCTCCTCTCTGCCCCTCCACACACTCATGCTCTCTCTCTTCTCTCTCTCTCTCAAATTAAATAAACATTTTTAAATAGGAATCAAATTTCTTTTCTATCTTCATTTATTGGGCAAATCTATACTTGTTTACCTCCTACATTACATCAAACAGTATAGAAGAAATACAATGAAGATTTCTATTACATTATAGACACAAAAAAATGTGCTGGATGGGTTAGGATCCCACTCATAATTTCAAGTAAAATACAGTATTTTCAAAGTACATAGTGGAAAAAAAAAAGTACGTAGTGAAAAACTTACTAAAGAAATTAAAATGTTCAAAAGAATATATTTACTTATAAAAAAAAAGTAGTAAAGGAGGAACAAGGTAAAAAAAGGTAGGATACAAAAAGCAATAAACAGCAGCTATAAATTCAACTATGTTAATAACATTAAATGTAAATGGATGAAACCATGTAATCAAAAGGCACATAGTGTCACAGTGAATTAAAAACTATATGGTGTCTATAGGAGACACATATTAGATTCAAAACTACTAACAGGTTGACAGTAAAAGCAATGAAAAAGATATATAATGTAAACAGCAACCATAAGGAAGCTGAAATGCTATAAATAGACAAAACAGACTTTAAAACAAAAAGTGTTATTAGAAATAGAGAGACATTTATAATGACAAAAGGAAGATTAAAAACAATTATAAATATACATGCACCTAACATCAGGGCTCCTAAATATATTAAACACTGACAGAATTGAAGGAGAAAACAGACAGCTCTACAATAATAGGAGACTTCAATACTTCACTTTAAATAATGGATACAACCACCAGGCAAAAGATCAATCAACAGAAGACGTGAACAACACTATAAACCAATTAGACCTAACATGTATCTACAGAAATACTCCACCCACCAACAGCAGATTATACATTCCTCCCAAGTGCACAATCAACATTTTCCTGGATAAACCATATGCTAAGCCATACAACAATAGCTATATGAGGCTAGTGGCTACTCTATTAGCTGCTATGCACAGATACACATGCTACTTGATGACAGCATCCTAGGACACGCAGAAATCCTTTTCCTTGATAGTGTGAGCTGCGGGGGTGGGTACAGAAGCCTCCATCGAAGATACCAGATCCTCCAGAGGTCGGCTCACAGAACCCATGGGTCATCACTATTATGAGATCTCATTATCACTACACTCAAAGAATAGGAGTGGGGAAAGGAGGAGGAAGAGATACATACATTCACAAAAGATGACAACATTAGCCAGTAAGCTCACTCTTACCAGAAATAAAACAGTCATGCACATATGAAAATGTTTCAGAATATTTTTAAATAGGCTCTATGCCCAGTATGGAGCCCATAGAGTATTTTTTTTTAATATTTAAAATATTTAAAAATACACATTTATAATACTAAAACATACTCCTCTAAAAGAGGTATTTTTTAGTATTTCTTTAATACTTCTTAGTACTTCATTTTAAAACAATTATTTGTTTCCAGCTGATTCAACCTTTAAAAATCCTAATAAATCATCGCTTGAAATAAAAACTTTGGCACTAAAAGCAGTCAACAATTCGGCCACAGATTAAAGAAAGGATTTTTGTTTCCAACTTGTTCTTCTTCAGACTCTGATGATGAAACGTGTAACAAGCTAAAATTCTAAATGTAATACTTCTCTTCATAAAGTCATTTTTTTCCTTCACGGATTTTAAGAAGTCCCATTAATATTTACACCATTTTCAAATCAGTAAGAATAGTTATATCAAATATACAGTACAGTAAAATTATACTATACAAATAAAACACAGTTTTACTGAGGCGCCTGGGTGGCTCAATCAGTTAAACGTCCAACTCTTGATTTCAGATTTCAGCTCAGGTCATGACCTCACGGTTCATGAGATCCAGCCCCACAATGGGCTCTGCACTCAGAGAATGGAGACTGACTGGGATTCGCTCTCTTCCTCTCTCTCTGCCCCTTGCCCACTTGCACACGCATACACACCCTCTCTTTCAAAATAAATGAACTTAAAACACACACACACACAAATTCTACTTTGATATAAAAAAAGATATCACTTACTGTACTTTTATCCTTTAAAAGTTTTTCAATTACTTCAATTAACATTTCCTTCTGCTCTGGGTCAAGGCTAAAACATAAAAAGAAAAGAACACACATTAAAATTTTTCCCTTTAATTCTAATTTTAAATGAAGCTAATCATTTCAAGAATATTAAGAAATTTTTTTAGGGGGGAAGGAGAGCAAGAATTATGTGAAGATAGAAAACAAATCTGAAATAAAATGGGATGTTTTTCTCCCAAATGTGTCCTAATCTTTTTCTTTAAAGTTGCTCATATTGGGGCACCTGGGTGGTTCAGTCGGTTAAGCTTCCGACTCTGTCTCAGGTCATATCTAGCAGTTTGTGAGTTCGAGCCCCAAATCAGGCTCTGTGCTGACAGCTCGGAGCCTGCTTCAGATTCTGTGTCTCCCTCTCTCTCTGCACCTTCCATGCTCACACTCCGTCTCTCTCGCTCAAACATGAATAAACGTTAAAAAAAAAAAATTATAAAGTTGCTCATATTAACTAAATCCAGATACTAATAACATTAAGACAGTATCAAGTTCAGGGGCGCCTAGGTGGCTCAGTCAGTTAAGCCTCCAACTTCAACTCAGATCATGATCTCATGGGTTCGTGAGTTTGAGCCCCACATCAGGCTCTCTGCTGTCAGCTCAGAGCCCGCTTCAGAAACTTTGTCCCCTTCTCTATCTTCCCCTTCCCCACTCATGCTTGCTTTCTCGCTCTCAAAATAAATAAACATTAAAAATAAATAAATATCAAGTTCACTTCTAAAAAACAGTTGGAAAATCTTAAAAATGTAATTACAAGTAGATAAAGTACAAATTCTTTTTTTAACTGAGGGAAAAAAGTTAATAAGACAGTGATCATTGTTGACTATGGATATACTACGGTCAAAAACAAATACAGAGAATTCCCAAATAAGAATTTTGTTATCATTTTAGTTCAGTAATGAACTAAATGTATTACAAAATCTGACATCTAAAACCAAAAACTTTGTATATATGCAAAGGCATATATATATATATATATATACATATATATATGTATACGTATACATATATATATACATATATACATATATATACATATATATGTGTGTATATATACATATATACATGTATATATACATATGTATACATACATATATACATATATACACATATATACACATATATGTATATATATATACACACATGTATATACACACACACATATATAAAAAATTAGGAAATGCCTCCTATTAGTAGCTCTAAGCACTGAAATATTGACAATATAATTTCTTCCTAACATGTAAGTCAAATGTTGTCCATTTACTGAGAAGCTGAAGAATGGGAATATAAAGGTAAATAAGACTGCCTAGCAAAGAAAGTCCCAAACATAAGCATACCACATAACAGAGATATGTATAAGGGATTACAGGAATAACAAGAGCACCAATGGAGGCAGGAGGGTTTCTTATAAAAAGTGACATCTCAGATGAATCTTAACAATTTGACTTTAGAACTAAAGAAAGGAGAAAGTTTTCCAGGTAAAGACTAAACAGATGGTAATAAGATAAAAATATTTTATGTAGAGGACTAATAGCCAGTACCAAGCTACTCAATTCCAGGCAAGGAGAATAAAGGCTGAGGCTGGAGAGGTAAAACAGGGTCCAGTGATGGACTTTTAATCCATCATAGTAAGCTTGGATCTTATTCTGCAAGCATGTAAAAAGAAAAGATGAGTGATAAGTATGATATAACTTCGACAGTTAACTTGAGTTAATGAGTTTTTACTTTTTATACACTTATATAAGTTTATTGCTAACCATTATAATTATCTGAACAAACCTTTTAATTCTTTCAAATGCTAGCTCTGGTCTCCCTTCTCCAAGCAGTCTTTCCTAACCCTACTTCATTACATCTTTACATTATGAAGCCACATAATGTAAGCCTGGAGTGGAGCCTGCTTCAGATTCTTTGTCTCCCTCTCTCTGCCGCTCCCCCACTCGTGCTGTCTCTCTCTCAAATATAAATAAACATTAAAAAATCATGGCCTTTGTGTGCATGTGTGCATCATATGCTAATATCTTATTTAATTATAAATTGCCTTTCATTGGTATCTGTTTTATTTTTTTCATCAAATATGTGTTAATACACCCTCTACCATTTTCATACACCTTACACATATAACCTGACACCAAAACCACAAAATGATCTTGATAAAAGCTTATGGAATCAATGGTAACAGAAATTAATACCAAATTATTACAGATAATAACTCTTTTACTTAAGCAATTTGTTTTCCACAAACATCGAGGCATCATATGATATTTTAATAAATATTATACAAATATGGTATGGTGCTGTATTTCAAAATGAGCATTTTAAAATTCAATAAAATACCTCTAGACAAGAATCAGGCAAGGAAGGGAACATCAGAAAGCAATGGAAAGAAAGATGGAAAAGGTGGAAGAAAGGAGAACAAAGTAAGCTGAAAAGATAATACACATAAGATTCTACCCTATAATGAACAGAAAAAAATCTTAAGTTTCTCATAATTTATGTGTATGTGTACATGACAGACACACTACATAAATGACAATTAAAATTCCATTCAGTTTTAAGTTATAAAATCTATACATTATCACAGGTCCTAACAGGCTCACAAGTAAAAACCAGGATAGGGTCTCTATAACCAAATAAAATTAAAGATGTCTAAAGAATGTGAGGAGAAAAACAGTCACTGGGTTTTGCTTAGTATAAGGACAGACTAATTATAAGGCTAATAAAATAAGCCTCCATGGGCTATAACATTCCATATAACAGTTTTGCTATTATTAACAAAGCACCTACCTGTACAATTTCTGTATTGCATGGGCTGCATTCTTCCTAACATATGGTGATAAATCAGCAGAAGCCTCCTTAATAGCAAGCATCATAATAGGTACAATAATTGGTACTCTAATACTTGACAGAACTCTCAAAGCACTTGCACGGATTAGTTGATTTGGGTCCTAGAAAGAGTGCAAATATATGATCAAAATCTCAAGTTTAGTATTTCAAAGATATCTCTATGACACAGCTAACAGGTGCTCACAGGATTCAATGTAACAACACACATACACACACACACACACACACAAACTATTTAAAGAACCAGTATATGAACACTGGATAAGAAAAAGAGTTAACTAAATGTTTATTTCTTTGAACAAGAAAAGTAATGGTTATAATTCTAGTTGATCATTCATTACTAAACATGTTGGGTTTTTAGAGTTTCACAATGACACAACACTGCAGGCTATAAATTTTCTCTTTAAAAAGTCACAACCCAACTAAGGGTTGATGGGGAGTGGGAGGGAGGGGAGGGTGGGTGATGGGTATTGAGGAGGGCACCTTTTGGGATGAGCACTGGGTGTTGTATGGAAACCAATTTGACAATAAATTTCATATATTGAAAAAAAAAAAAAAAGTCACATCCCGGGGCACCTGGGTGGCTCAGTCGGTTAAGCATCTGACTTCAGCTCAGGTCACGATCTCGCGGTCCTTGAGTTCGAGCCCCGCATCAGGATCTGGGATGATGGCTCAGAGCCTGGAGCCTGCTTCAGATTCTGTGTCTCCCTCTCTCTCTGACCCTCCCCCGTTCATGCTCTGTCTCTGTCTCAAAAATAAATAAACTTAAAAAAAAAAAAAAAGTCACATCCCCTCATTGCACACTTTCAACAATTAGGTATAGTGATGAAGAGTTCTTGGGTGCATGATAAGGATTAGGAAGAACATAAAGGAACATGTAGAAAATGAAACAGAGAGAAAAATCTAGTTGGTTATATACATATTATTTTCTGAGGACACTGAATGGGCAACGTGAGAGGCCTTTCAAGTCTTTCAAAACAATACTGCGCCATTTAGTAAATTACTGGTCCACTTCTTTAAATAACACACCTTCAGCTTTGCACAAATCTTGTAGCTATTTGCTGGCTCACTCTACTATTTACCTTCAGAGCTCGCTGAAAAGTGCTTATGGACAAGAGTGCCAGATCCTGCTGTTCTTCAGCATACCGGACCAGGTAAACATACACTAACTTCTTGATCTGTTAAAAAAAAAAGAAAAGAAAAAAATCACGTAATCCTAGCCAGAATGAAAATTAAAAATTCATTATTTTGTATACCAAATCCATTCTCAATTTTTGTGAAATAAAATAACTGAACCTGGTCATAGCTTATATTGTGATATAAAGATAATATACTGTAGCATGAGGAATGGCAACAGAAAAAACTTGTGAAATAAGCATTTTGATAATCCAATCTATAACAGCAACACGTTGTTCTGTAACAACATTCCAAAAAGTCTTGAGGGTTAACTTACTTCAAGCTTATATACTCCTTGCTTGCTGACCTAAGTCCCTTTGGTCCTGAGATGAACTAACCTACTCTTCTTGAGATCTGCAGATCACCGGCCTTAAGGAGAGAAGGACCAGGCTTTCCCAAAAGAGAAGTCCTGACCATATTTGATGCCAGCAGGTCTGTTTGGGGTCCTGTCGACATACGCCATTCCCCCAGGCACCATCTCCTCCTGCAGACAGCCTACCCCCAACCCCCAAAACCCCACTTAGAACCTTTCCCTTTGAAACCTTCTGGCTTTGCCTGGACAGGAAAGATGGTCTCTGGGACATGAGTCCACCATCTTCCCAGGCTGCTGGCTTCCTGAATAAAGTGACATTTCCTTTCCCACCATCACTTGTCCTTCTACTGATTTTCAAGCAGTGAGCAGGTGAACCTGAGTTCAGAACCAGTTCTCTGTCGGGTAACACTTTCTCTCAAAGGGAATAAAAAAAATCCCTGAGCAAAACTCAGACAAGAATATTAAGGGGCGCCTGGGTGGCTCAGTTGGTTGAGTGTCTGACTCTTGATTTTGGCTCAGGTCATGATCTCATAGTTCATGGAATTGAGCCCCGTGTTGGGTTCTGCGCTGACCTCACAAAACCTGCTTGAGATTCTGTCTCCTTCTCGGTCTGTCCCTCACTGGCTCTCTCTCTCTCTCGCTCTCAAAATAAACAAAAATAAACTTAAACAAGAAAAAGAACATTCTTTAAATGTTATATTAAAATGTAACTGAATTATAAAAGTATTTTCAAAATGAAGGATAAAAATACTAGAAAGAACTTGGATTCTATCCTCCAGCTACATGGTATATATATGAACTTATGTCTCCTCATCAAAAGGTGTTGGAGCCGCAACTCTGATTGTATGGTAATACTCACATTCACATTCCAATATATATTACATGATATTTTCAGCTCAGTAAGAATAAGGTATGACAATACCAATTTAATGTGATAAAAACTCCATAAGACTGGGAGTATCTGACAACTGTTCTAAATGGCAATTTAATCAGTTAAGTCTAAAACAGCATTATGATGAACAGAAAAATTAAATAAAAATTAAAATGTGAGTCGAAATTCATCAACTGCTTCCTTCTGACATAGCTCATACACTATAATCTTCCTTCTGAAATATCTTCAGATACCACTGCCTGAGTAGTTTTTTTATGCATCAGCAGAGTACAGACCTATAAGTTTATGGAATGTTCAAAGAGCACAGGAAATGAGGGGAAGTAACTGGAAATAGCTGGAATTGATGCTAGAAAGGAAAAAGAGTGCTACACCAGGCCATATTTTATGTCATACTAACCAATATGAACTTCTTTAAAGACAACTACTTCCTTCATACTCCACTTTCCTTTGACACAACATAGTTTTGTTTTAAGTAAGCGCTAGGCCCAACGTGGGGCTTGCACTTACAACCCAAAATCAAGAGCCGTGTGCTCTACCAACTAAGCCAGCCAGGCACCCCAACACAGCATAGTTTTGAGTTCCTTCACTATCCTGTTTGCTTTCTTCTGAACTCACTCCAATTTGTCTATATTTCTTTCAGTGTAGAACCCCAAACTACAAATGAAGTTTAAGTAGAACAAACAAGTTAAGGCTACGTTCCATGTAAGGTGCTTCCACTGACACAACTAAATCTTAAAAATAAAAACATACATTTTCTAAAAGTATACTGACTACATTAAGCCATATCTGAGTAAATATCCTGGTGGGGTTTTTCTCTTTTAAAAAGAAATGGTGCTACACACACCATTTTAAGTTGATACCAATCCATTTTTCTATACTATATAGACAGAGTTATAGATGAAAGTAACAAAAAAATTATCTCCAAATACTCTTCAGTGGTGAATGGATCGACAGAGTCCTAAAAACAAAACTAAAACCCTTAAAAAATTAAAACTCAGTGCCCAATGCAGTCCATAATCTGCCCCAAAATTCCTTTCTTTGCAAGCAGGTATTTAAGTTCCTAAGATTACAACATTGCCAAAAGGCAATAAACACTTCCTAGCTGACTGATTTGTAGCATTTTCAATATACCAAATCAACACACAGACACATGTAAGATATTTCCCAAATCCATCTTAGGATGAACATGGGGCTACTTAATGCAGGAACCATTCCTATTCACCTGTATATTCGCAGAACCTATCATAATGGTTGGCATGCAGTAAGAGCTCAATAATTAGCTGAATGAAACATCATAGCCCAGTGGTATACTGAAAAAATTTAAGGCTGTTCTCATTAGATTGCTATATCAGGAATCTAACTTCCACCAGTGGTTATAATTCAAATAGATTCCTAGATAAAACACCAACATACTGTGAGGAAATGACGCATATTAAGAAGATTGTCTCCAAAAGTCTTTAACTTGTAAATTATTGTTTTGCTTTGATAGAGAGCACAAGAGCATAAGCGGGAGAGAGGGGCAGACGGGGAAGGGGAGAAAAGGTGAGAGAGAGAGAGAGAAAGAGAGAGAGAGAGAGAGAAAGAAAAAGAGAAAGAGAAAGAGAGAAAGAGAAAGAGAAAGAGAAAGAGAAAGAGAAAGAGAAAGAGAAAGAGAAAGAGAGAGAGAGAATCTCAAGCAGGTTCCACGCCCAGCAGAGAGCCCGACACGGGACTCAATCCCATGACCCTGGGACCATGACCTGAGCCAAAATCAAGAGTCAGACGTTCAACCGATTAAGCCACCCAGGCACCCCTAACTTGTGGGATTTTTAAAAATTAATCATTTAAAATGTTCTTTCTTCATATTAATTATATTCAGACCCAGTCTACAGTTCTCTGGAAAGTTTTGGAAGAAATAGGTTAGAGTCCACCCATCCCCTCATCTTCCTGTGATTTATTTCTCAGCAACACCTTTATTTACGAAGTAACTGTACAGCCAACTTTTAAAGCTGAATTATGAACTCCAGAATATATCCAGGGGTTTATACTGGCAACACTGAAACATTCAGAACCACAGCTGAGCTAGCAGGCATTGCTGTAATTACTGACTATTGGAGAAGGACTTTTGTGCCTGTTATAGCAAAAAGCATAACAATATTAAATCACAGAAGGTTGCAAAACACCAAATTTGTTCTAGTTCTGTTATAAGAATCAATCAATATTGACCACAAGAGGCCTGTGCACTGACTGGCTGCAGGTGTGCAGAGAAAGCCTAGTTTCCCTGAAACCATTCTGTGACCAGAAATGGGAGTACTTAAAGCTCCGTGACTACACCATTCTCTGATCAGTTACCTCCATTCAATGTTACAACACTCCTTGCTGTAAAGCTAATCATAGCAGAGCCCCAGTAGGCTGGCAGAACACAGGCAGATCTGTTTAATTAGTTTATCAATACTAGTACATCAAACTTCATGAGTTATTGACTAAACCTTTGATTATTTTTGTACTATAACCACTGATTGCTTACTAGGTAACTTTTGGTATCATTTGACATCAAATGGAAGATGACGTACAGCTTAACTGTGTGTCTAAGGCAGCATGTACTTATAAAAATGAAATTTTGCACTTGATAGCAATGAAACATCAGTCAATTCTCTAAACATAAATTTTAAAAAGTTTATGTCAGTTTTCTCACATTAGAGGATTAAGCATGTTTCAAAAAACAACATAATTCAAGAACAAAAGAAACCCAAACAAATACACCAATAATTATGTTTATAGGGACATTTTTGTTGCAGAACATTACACAGTATATGAGAATCTGAGTGTAAAGGGAAGAGATGAACAAATAGGAAAGTTCTATTATAACTACCTGAACAGTACAAACAGTTTTGGATGAACAATAAATAACATAGAATTTTCTGTTTACAAGAAGACTAGAAGTCCAGGGGGAACTAGTTAATTTACTACCAATTTCTAAGGACTTCCTCATTTCTACCCATCTCTAAGTCATAAGAATAGTTATATCAAGGCCAGATACCTCCCAAAGGATAGCTAATACCAGATGTTGATAAGGGGCCAAAGTCACTAAGGGAGAGGAGGAGGAAGAAAGCATCAAGCAGGAAGGATGGCTCTAAAAAGGGGAATGGTCTAAGATGGGTTCTGAAGCCAAGCCACCTGGCTTTGGATTCTGACTGTGAAATATGACCTTGATCTGATAATTTAACCTCTCTGTTACCTTGTCCTCATATATAAAATATGGGAAATGACAGAATCAACCTCACAGAGTTATTTGTGATGATAAAATGAGTTGATAGATGTAAGGTACTAACAACCTCGCACAGAAAGCATCTTTTAATGCTTTCTCTAGCATTTCTCTAGAGACTCTAGTCCTAAAACACTAAGGTAACAGCTCTACCTATATCTCACAATTTTTCTAAGTCAAATCTCAATTTTTTTCAGATACCTGCACTTACATCAGAAGCCATAAAACTACATCAAATTAGAAGCTCAGATAGCATGACCATAATATATCAAAGAGAGTTTAACTCTTGATATTATCAATTCAGAAGTATATAGTAACAAGCATACAAATGTTGTTTAATAAATATCTATTAAATTAATGACAAGTCAAATTTGCAAATACTAGATTACATACATATAGCCTACATTTCTCCTATTTTTTTTTTCAACGTTTTTTTTTTTTTTTTTTT